ATGGGCTGATGATAATTTTATGCAGAAAAAGGCAGTGGTGACTCATATGAATAATTATATGCTTGTGAAGCCAATGAATAATAGAAAACACTCTTCATTCAATTAAAACAGGAAGGAAAGGTTTCCACTGTTAACAAAGCACACAAAGGAAGTTTTATGAACCGCGCCAAATGTAGCTCTTGCAATTTTACTGTCAGCAGTTCAATATTTTTATTTTTAACTGGCGCGATGCTGTTTACTCCGTAGTTAATTACAGCTCTTAGAACCCTGATTAGGGGTATAGGTATATACATGTAATATGGCTGGAAATATCTCTGTTTTACATGCTAATGAGTCTGTAAGCAAACACTTTGTAATGAGCAGTCTTGAGCTAAAAATTCCAATGAACAAGGCTGGTATTAAGTGAGACATCGACAGTCAATTGATGTATAAAAAAAAGTCAAAATGGTAATTGAGGAAAGTCACAGAGGTCTTTGTTCGACTGAAACAGCTCATTTAAAAGTTTAAAATGAGAATGGAACGCCAGCCGCAGGAGCTGTAATTTGTGCCTCCTAGCTTAATAAATCATACATTGGCCAATGGGGTTATAACAAGCCAAGAGCTTATGAAAATTGTTTTTGTATATGTTAATGGAAAGATGCTGTGAGATCTTCCTGTCTCATTGTCAGGGCTGGGATGCATGAAAGTACAAGCTTCGGCAGTAGTTTCTGTGATGAATTGCGTAATAGGTGGTCCACAAATGACTTTCCTGGTAGTGTAGCTGATGTCTTTAGTTATGTTTTATAGTACTGCATAATTTTACCATTTTTTGCGCTTTAGAACAGGCTCTGGTATGCTACAACCTCAAAAGGAATAAATTGTTTTTTAAACATGGAGTGATGGGTCACTCGCTCTTTGAGTTGACTGGAAAGAGAAAAATGCATTGCACTTTGTCACAGTGCCAGTCTTCAGTGTACAGAATTTCAAGCAAAAAATGCTTTATTTAACGTTGCATGGTAATGGTATTGCACAAGGTAGCTGGTGATGGAACAGCATGAGCAGTTTGTCAGAAAGACAGTTTTGATCTGTTGCCATTATAATATAGACATTATTAAAATACTAGAAGCATGATCAGTATTACAATGATTGATTATTACATTTGGGAAATGAATGTGCTTTTGAATTCACTCTTCATAATGTATAGAAAAAAGGGTATTTTTCAACTTGTGCAGCTTAGAGAGAATAGGCTGCGTCGCCCCAAAAGCCTGGCTGCCTGATTACAGAAAGGAAGCTTCAGATATCGTGTCAATCATTGTGGAAATCTGAATAGGAGCTGGCTAAAATGTTTTTTTGGATGGGCGTGGCTAAAATGCCTTCTGCTTCTTGATTGATTTTAATCTTTGTTTTCGTAGACTTCACCCAAGTAACTGCGGGCTCAGGGAGTGGGTGGAGCTGAATTAGAGGTTACCTCTCGGTATTCATCTACGGGACCCCTGATAGTGCTTGGAGACAAAGGGGAAGGGAGTCTCAACTCGAGCAGCATCTATAATCAACACCGTGAAACAATCTGCAGTTGACAAGCAGTTCTGCTCCTTTTAGATTTTGTGATAATTTACAACATTTGACACAGTAACAGATGGCAGATTGCCCTTTAAACTGGGGATTCTTACAAAAAGGGATATTTTGAAAAGGGGTCCCCCACAGAGAGAAGATTGAAAATCCCTGGGTTAATGGATGACAAAACTTTCTTTTGTAGATCATTACATTATTAGTAAATTACATTTTTGTATAAAAAACTAAGAACACAATGTTAAACCACAAAAAATAAGTGATGTATGGAATATTTAAAAAGAGATGTCCTGATGCATAATGAAAATGCAACAGTCTGTTCTGTACCAACAGCTCACTGGGGATGCACATACTGTTATTTACATTTGAAATAGGTTTGTTGATTGTTTGAGCAGTACTCTTCCCTGGGATAACAAAATGCTGATCAAGTCATATGATTTCATGAAACTGACAGGTGCTCAGCGTTCAGTCTTTTAATTGAGTTAACATTGCCAAAAAGGAGCAAACACATTATTTTAATTAAAGCAAGAGCAGTGAAAGACATGAACGTCTTATATAATGAGGATGCCTGGTTGTTGCTGGCTTAACTGCAGCTAGTTAGTGGTCTGTGTCTGAATGGATATGGAGAATGAGATCAACAATCAGTGCAGTGCAGAAAACCTGACTCTGTGAGGAACGGGTCATGTTCCTAGCAAGCCCTGACCATTACATATGTTTGATCCATCTCCATAATGGATCAAAGCTGCAGTGACTTCTCCATGAGAAAGTCCAGAGTAATAACATGCACATCAGCAGAATAACTGTGGACTGCTGTCTGCATGAAGACGATCCACCTGCCAGAATCCCATTGAGATTGCATGAAAATGCCAGATAACAATTAAAAATGCTGACAGAGAGAAGTGGGGTATTTTAATACCCCTTCAAGGGAAACTGCAGTCCCAGGTTCCCAGTCCAGGTATGATACCTCAATTAGAAAATTCATTGACAGCTTTGTGAAAGTATTGTATGGTCCCATGTTGTGGCAAACTGCTGGTCTCACGCAAATTGTAACGTAAAGCAGTCCTTCCTCCTCACTAGGGTCTAGCAACTTTTCTAGCAAAAAGGGGAAACCCAGTCTCCAATCAATGTTGATTCTTTTCTGGTTTTCTCAACTCATGTACATATTTTAAACAATGCCTCACTGTTGAGCTGTTAAGCATTTGGCTGTACAGAACATAGTGATCGCACACAAAACAGGATTGGATCAGTAGTAAGTCAAGCTGTTTCCTTTTCCAAGGGATATTCAACTAGCCAAGAGTTGGGTAATATGGGCACTGATGCTGGTCCCATCGACAAGTTTCTTGACAAGGTTCAGCTCGAATAAGTACAGGTTGTGCAGGAGACATTTCAAAGCAGAAATGTTCCCATGTGATCTACATTGTGAGTTAACCAGTAGCATTTGTCGGTAATTTGTTTCAAAGTCCAGAATGTTGAATTCAGTTCACACTCATTAAAATTAAAATTGGCAGTCTAGATAAGGTATCTATAAAACGTTGCCTTGTATGTGCCAGTTTCATAACATTATATATAAATCAATCAAGTGGCAAAATTAGTCTAAAGCATGTGCTTTATTGCAACAGAAATACAAAAACTTGTGCTCAAACCATATGCATTTCTACCATTCTTGCTCATAAAAAGCAAACAACAAAACGAGAATGCAAAAAGGGTGATATCAGTGCTTTACAGTATATCTATCTATCCTCGTGATTTAAGTGATCGTTTTTATCATAGTTATGTTGAAGACCTAAGTTAAGATATTAATTAAATATGGTTTTATGACTAAGAGCAATATTTCTGCTGGATGAAAAGAGATGTATTCACAAGTTGTTTACAATGTACAGTAATAGGGCTGCTTCACATCAGAGCAAGATTTGTTGTCTCGTTCGTTGTGGACAATGATGGCAATATGGCGCTGCACATGCCTGGAAATTGTGTCTATGTTGTTGTGTAAATTGGAGGTTACCATGGACTTTGTACTTTTACTGTGGTTTGAAATGCACTCATCGGTGTAAATGCAATGTAAAAATAGTGTTGCAGTTCCCCTGGCAGACCTGATGGAAGAATGATGCTTGTGGAGTTGTCAGTCAGGGTGGGAGTTATGTGGACTGTTGCATTGTCCAATACTAGAAATATGGTGGAAGTATGATGGCGTGCGGAGGAAGTTCATTTAACACAGGAACACCTTTTATGCTGACTGAGTGCCATCTTACAGCTCAACAATCCATTGAGAAAACACTTGAGCCAGTAGTTTTCTTCTTTCCTGCAAGCCAAGCTTTCACCTTGAGAGCATGTTACATTTCATACTGAGAACATTTTTCTTCAGCATTTGTGTTTGGATATCTGTGTTTAAAACATTTAATGGCATTCATTAGATCAGCACATTGTGCTTGTACTTCAGTATAGCAGTCACGAGAGGTGCAGATTTTATTACTAATACACTTTCACCCTATACTTTGAAGCAGAAAAGGCAGTGATCAAGGAAAGGAATGTTTTCCCCTCCTACCCACCCTTTGTCATTTAATTTTCATGTCTCGTTTTTGTTTCCTTGCAATTGAAGGTGGGTTTTCCATATGTGCGGATTTTATTTGCTTGCCTGTTTTCGTGACTGCTGACAGTTGCCTCTTACATACCTCAGAATCTGTGATCAAGAGTTCGGTTGTTCTGAAACTGAATTATTTGTATGTACTCTGCTGTGTTACTGTAGCCTTGGAGCATAAATTAATTTTAAGAGTGGTGTAACCTTTAAAGATCATGCTTTGCAGTAGTATATATATATTTTTTTTAATCCAGATGTTTTTCATCCACAAGCAATTAAGTGGCAGTTGGAGCCCTGTATACAGCTAAGGAAGAGGTGACTCACGCCACGCTCTTGCTTTTCTAGTTCTGAGCTGTTTAATTTCATGCCTTTTAATGAGTCGTGGAATATCCTGATGTTTAAATTGTTGTTTTTTTCGCTCATTCACTTCAAATGCTCATACTAAAAAATTCTATGTGACTCAGATGAGATGAAAAAATTACCTTATGAAAGGTAACTTACCAGAATGAATTTTCTCTCCCTGCTGATGGGCGCTGACTCCCTGAGTCCTGTGCTCCAGACACCCAAGGAAGTGAGCAAAGTAGCACCGGGTCTATAAATGTGCAGAAAAGGAAAATAATTTACATTAATATAAGAGTATAGATGCAATAATCACATCCTGGCCTACTTAAATAATACAGTATTTCTTAGGTTTTTTAATTCATTTGCTTTTGATTAAACTATTGACAAAACTTTTTGATAGGCAGTGAATTAATGTTCTATGAAAGCTTTGTGAAAAGATCTGAGTTGAAACAAAACAACTCTTTCTCCTTTCTGTTTTGGCCCAGACTGATCCAATCTATCTTATTGATGGAATTTTTTTTCTTCTCGTTTGAAGGACTAGACGACGTGTCCAAGGATGGGGAAGCAGAACAGCAAACTGCGTCCAGAGGTGCTGAACGATCTGAGAGAGAACACCGAATTCACAGACCACGAGCTGCAGGAGTGGTACAAAGGCTTCCTCAAAGACTGCCCTACTGGACACCTAACTGTCGACGAGTTCAAGAAAATCTACGCAAACTTCTTTCCTTACGGAGACGCCTCCAAGTTCGCTGAGCACGTATTCCGCACGTTTGACACGAACGGGGATGGGACTATAGACTTCCGGGAGTTCATTATCGCACTCAGCGTCACGTCGCGGGGCAAACTGGAACAGAAGCTGAAGTGGGCATTCAGCATGTACGACCTGGATGGCAATGGATACATCAGCCGGGCGGAAATGCTCGAGATAGTGCAGGCAAGTCAAACCTCTTTGCGTTTTCTTTTTTCTGTGAAAGTTCTTCTTCAGGTGACTTCAGATTATCAGAAGAAAGCCAAGAGAGTTAGGCGTCAAAGACGAAGCTTTCTCAATATGGTCAAAATAATATTGGGGAGTAAAAATGCATAAATCTCCATTTGACTTTTTGAAAGTCTTTGCATCCCCTGAACAGGTAATGTTTCACTCTTTTAAAATATACCAAATATTTCCTAAAGATGAACAAGCACTCATTAGCATATATCTATATGAGTGTGATTAAAACAATCTGAATGATTTATCCATACTCACAATCATGTTTAGATGTTTAGTTCTGTTTTATTTCCACAAATAGAGGAAATTCTAAATTAAAAATATTTTTGCTATTGTTTAGTAATAATACATTTTATTTTACGTAACACCTTTAAAAGCATCTTCTCAAAACATCTAAGATGGCACAGTTATCCAGACAGCTTGTGTCCCATCTTTTGCTCTTGTGTCCAACACCCAAAGTTTGAGTTCAAATTATCAAAGGCCTGAAAGTAGTACCTGAAATGGTTTAATCATTAAAGAAAAGCATACAGAAAAAATAACTTTCTGAAGTTATTTAGAAAGGACAGAATCTAATTAAAGGAAAGGAGTAGAATGAATTGCAAACAGATAAGAAACTGATATTAAAAAAAGATATTAGCCTGAGAGAGTGAGAAAAGAATTTTGCAATGAAGGCTAAAATATTAAGATTTTTTTCTCAGTACTGAAAGAGCAAAAGAGCAGTAAAAGATTAAATGAAGAGTCTTGGACATAAAATAGGGAAACTTTTAGAAAGGAAGGCTGATTTCTTAAATGAATATTTCAGATGTTCACAAAGGAAGAAATCATCATTATGCCTCTTACTGTGGAAAAAGAAAGTTCTAAATTAAATGGTATTAGCATAATGTTATAGGTACTAGAAACACTTAAGATAAACCTCCCGGGTCTCTAAATTCTACCAATTATATTTAAAATGAGATGGTATTCATTGGTTGTTAGCAAAACGCTTTTAACAGTCATTTGCAAGGGGGTAAAACCTATTGACTGGAAAATTGAAAATATCCAACCACTTAAAGGGTGACAAAACTTTGCCATGTAATTATCGTAATTGGTGGATAGTCAACATGGCTTTAGTAGAGGTGTTAGAGTTCCTCTGAACTAGCAACCACAGTAATGAATGCAAACGGAAAGTAAAATCTGCTATATTTAGATTTTGATAAAGTACTTATTACAGGTGGTAGACATTCAAGGAGATACATGTATTTAGATTAGGAACTGGCCAATGAGTAGAAAACAATACAGGAGATGGTGAATGCTCTGAGTGTGGTGATGTAAGTAGTGGAACAAAGACTGGATCTGTGCAAGGACCACAGCTCTTCCTAATTTACTGTACATCACTAATCTACATTGTGGTGTAGTTAGCAAACTCGTTGTATGTAAGTATGTAAGAATATTGCAAAAGATAAAGCATAAATGTAAAATTGGAAACGCTGAGCTTGAGGAAGCTATAAAAATGACTTTGGTGATTGTTAACACACCATTTTCATCTCCTACACAGCATTGGGAAGCAATGAAAAGCAACAAGAATGTTAGGATAAATAGTTAAAAGTGTAGACATTCAATTGATAGAGATTGTCCACCTCACATGTGAAAATCAAGTCCTTGTCCATTTTGTGTAGAGACAGGTGAAGGTCCATGATTAAGTCATGAATTTACCTGCCAATTGCCAGTTCTCATTCCCATAATTGATAGCAGCTTTTCATTGCGTACATGCTTCTGGGAAGCAGGAACAAACAAAGTTGTGATATGTAGCACGATTGAAGCTTTGATTTAATCTACCCCTAAATCAAGCTGAATTTCAAACCTTGAATCTGTGCAGTTGAGCATCAGATATGTTTGCTTAAATCAGCCTTTTTACTTGGTGTAATGCCTTTTCCCATTTTCAAAATATATAATTACTGTTCTTGACAGCACCCATAGAGTTATAAATCACAGTTATTAGATTTTATTCAGTTCTCTAATATAATACTACCACCTCTGTCCACACTCAGTAGGATTAGCAGTTTTTCCCTGTCCTCCACATTCCTTTTCTACATTCGTGGATGACCCCATTACAATTTTTGAAAGCATGCAGATCCATTTTTTTGGTTAAGTATATCTAAAATTATAAATCCTTATTACTTTTATGCCACTTATAGGTATTATTACAGAAAGCTGATTAAATTGTTCATATTATACTTAATGGAGGGAGGATGATCTTAAGGTTGTATGTGGAGGTGAAAGTAAAATTTTAATAATGTAATCTGCAGTGCACAGTGTGAACATTGAACATGTTTTAAATATAATCACACTAGGAAAAACATGTGCTCCGCTCAGTACCAAATGATTAAGCATAGTAGAAGATTTGCCATTTTAAAAGTTAAAAGAAGTTTGTTCTGGTGAGAAAAAGGTAACAATATTCGCAATTGTCAAGTAAGCAGTATAGATCTCTATTTTATGGTATACACAGAATTATAGACTCATGTTATGTAACCAAAAATAATTTAATTTAAGAGATAATTTGCAAGTGGTCTTCTAGCACTTTTAAAGCCAAGATCTGTCTGTTTTTTTAAGCCTTAGGCAAAACATGCAATATTAGTGCTGAGATAATATTTAAGGTATCAAAATGATGTAATATGATTATCAGCCATTCAAAATTTTGGTTTAATACATTGCAGAAAAAAAACATTTACAGAGTTTGTCAATGAAACTAAATTTCTTAAATGAATAACTGTCTTTAGAAGGTTTATTTTACACATTTCTATACTAATAGGAGTTAAAATCTCAAACATTCATATTGAAACCAATAAAACAAATGCAATTAGAACCTCACTATATAGACTTATTTCTAACCATATACTGTTTAAAATAGCTGCTTAGTGCAGGTCTACTTCTGTTTTTAAATAGATAATATCCGTGGCTGTGTGTGAATGCACAAACATATTTGGGTTCTGTGGCTCTTTATACCTTTTCTACAAACATTGTGTCAGATCTTTTAAAATTGCATTCGTTTCAAGTTGAATTGTAATAGACAGTGTAGTAAAATAAAGCAGTCCTTGTTAGATGTTGATGTTGTAAACAGTAAATGTAAGGAAGTTACCTTAGTCTTAGAAATGTTCACTACAGTGTCAAAGAGACAATCTAAGGCTTAAGCTAGTCATTTTGAAGAAAGTCTTCCTAGTTCTTAATTGCCATATGTAACTGAAGATGTAAACCCCAGAACCCCTTATCAGATGTTACTGTAAAGGGAAATTAAGAGAGGTCCCCAATTAATTAAACCCTTTTTTAATTGTCAGAAGCAATAGCTTGGTTATATTAAAGTCACACACTAGAGTCAAAAATGGCATTTGCCTTTTAATTACTTCACAGATGTTTATAGCACAGATGTTCAGTGACAATTTTTGAACGTGACATTTTACTGTGTGTCAAACTATAACTATCAGTTCCTAGCCGTCTTTATATTCCATGTTACAGGAATAAAAATGTTTCTGGGGTTTAGGTTGAGAGACTAAGCAGCAGAACAATAAACTATTGTGAGCCGTATTTATACATATTTAATAAAGACTGTTTGTAGTGTGTTTTAATTAACGCCATAATCAGAAATAGCTCTGGTTTCTGTCAATCAGAACTAAGGCCTGAGACAGCTTAATGGCATTTTTTTCATTCCCCTCTTTTTACATCAAAATTTTCTGTCATTCTAATTTATTGAAGGCCTTTTTTTTTCATTGTCACAATTCATTTTTTATTGCAAGTGAACAAAGGTTCATTTCACTTCAACAAACTTTCAGGTACAAAAGGTTGCTCTTGTAGATATTTTCCTAATACAGAGAAACCATGATAATTGATTTGAGATCAGACAGTCAGTGATGTGTTTCATACATCAGTGGTAGTTTATGAACTGTATTCACTTCTCGGATCCAGAGTACTCTGTTTAGTGGCTGCCATCAGAATGAAGATCCAGAGGAAAGCAACTCTGGGGCTCCTGACCATGGTTTATGGTGAACTTTAAAAAACAGAACAACAAGTCCCCTGTAGCTGACTGCTAAGTGGAAACTGGACTGGGGTCTTTAAAATGCTAAACAGCAGAGATAAGATTAATTAGACAAGACTGGAATATTTCTAAAGTCTGTTTTATCCAGGCCAAATTCAAGTGCATGACCAGAAGCTTAGTGAAATAAAGTGGAGTGGGCACTGGAAGGTATGTCTTGTTCATACCTGCAACACTTGTATCATGGCCCGTCCTTAATCGTCCTACACCAGCTGGGTCTTGTGTTGGAATCGGCTGTCCTATAGGACACAAAGGAGCCGTCATCCTCTCCAAGGGCCTCTTCCTGTTCTTGACTGTTCTGTTATTTGTGAGCATAAATTCCTCCCCACGACTCTCGGGAGATACCACGGGGCCCTGGGTCTGCAGCATCTCCCACACATTGAGAGCCAAAGGCCGAGTGAGATCCACGTCAGCAGTCTCAGACTGGCCAGGGATGCAGAGGGATTGTCTGCTGCTTACAGAATGAAGACCTCACTAGCTGGCGTCATGTTTTCACAAACCCAAAGCCCTATTAAGTATCTACGGGTGTCAGAGTCACTATTCTACTGAACTGTAAAATTAGAATGGTGCATAGGTCTGAAATTACTTTACAGATGAGAATTTGTACAAATGCACGTGTTTCGTTTACTGGAGGGTGTTGTCTTGAAAACAACATTAGTAATAATGTTGGTTGTAACACCCCCCCACCCCTGCTTTATTAAATTGAGCAGCTTTGACATGAAGATGGTATTGTGTTTCTGTTGATCTGATTGCTGCTTGGTGCCACTCTGCACATGTTAACTGGAGACTTGGTTGTGTGCAGGTTGTAGGGTATAAGACAAATGTTACTTTATTTTATTTTTTTTCCAATAGGATGGAAGTGTTGTGAGACAAACAGCACAGTGACACTTACATTTTGCAAATGCTTGGCAGGATTGTGAATTGTTTAGTTAACAGTAGTAATACATTTCAGAATTTAATGATTATTTAAGCATTTCCTGAATTATATTTATTATTATTTGTTAATAATTCCTCCATCACTTCCTTCAAATTACTTTGCCTTTAAAGAACATTTCTACTTGTTCTAAAAGAGACAATTTTCTCATTGAGGTTTATTTTTGGCATCACCTGAAAACACTAGTATTGTTTTCATAGCAACCGGTATGTAGTCTCTCCTTAATGCCACATTAAACAACCTGTCCCTGAATAAAACTTCCTGTTTGTGGTTTTATGGTCTAAATCTGACTCCAACCCTTTCTATATGTTTTCTCATCTTTGTTATCCCTGCCATACAGCTTTTGGTAAAATAAATGTTTTTCTTTGTTTGTCTCTATCTTTTGTGTTTGTAATGGAAGGCACTTCTCTTTTTCCTCTTCTAGGCCATTTACAAGATGGTGTCATCGGTAATGAAGATGCCTGAAGATGAATCTACCCCAGAGAAGCGCACAGACAAGATATTCCGACAAATGGATACAAACAACGATGGTAAGTAAATCCCTCCACCTGACTATACCGACCAAAGGGCACCACAAATTAGATTCTTTCATAAATTAATTTCCTTTAAATGTATTAGCCTCAGCCATTAAACTGACATCTTATTTATATATTTGATTTTCATGACGTGAAAGCCTGCTTCAAGTTGATGTTTACAGTGAGGGTAACAGTATTCAGCTTTTAATTTTTTTTTGCTTTAATGAGGCTAAGCCTCTTGCAAAGGTTTATGGGAAAATAATTAATGACCATGATCTTCTTGTGTACCTTAAAGAAAGGAAACCCATTTAGATCGTAATGAACAATTAACCTCTTAGTTAAGAAAATATGGATTATAGAATTAAAAATGTTGATAATAATGATTTTGACCCGGTCCGTCAATGACAGTTAATATATCTGTTATATAAACTATTTTGTTGTGATTAGGAAACCAAAAAGAAATAATTGTTTAATTGTTTTATAAACTAAATTCTCATTATCATATTTTTTTTTTCATTTGACATCTACATTTAGTTTTCATTAAGCAAATAGCCCAAAATATGAACCAAAACAATTATCTTCTGCAATTGTTAGATAGACACCATCTTTGAATTCATAATTTAATCTATCTCATATATATCTCATATTCAGCTTTTCTTCAGGAAGTAAAAAGGCTACTTCCTTTCCTTTTCCATCTTTAAGAGGTGTGCTGTTAAGATGTGAAATAGTATCTTGTTGTCCAGGAATGCACAGCAGGATTATCACAGAGGCTGTCCAGACGCGAAAGCCTCTGAGCTCCTCTTGGCAATCAGCTCTTCCCAACTTCTGTGTCCAAATGCCTTTTATTCCACTCTGGCCGTTAATCAGAAGGCAGTGAAACCAGATATTGTTCACAAAAGGAGAGCTTTCAGAATGCAGTGTGTAATTTATCAAGTGCATAAAAGGGTGAAGTAATGATTAACCTTAGTGTGGTGAATTGGAAGCCATCAGTTTAGCTTAATGCAACATTAACTTAGAAAACTTTTTGAAGTGGTTAATGCAAATACAGAATTGATTATGAAAGGTCACCAAACACATCAAATCAATATCTTTTCTGACATTTTGATTCCTTCATTTGTTTGCATACTTTTTGTTTGGGCACTGTTTTGCATTGTAAAGGATAATTGTGAAATATTTATAAATATGCAGATTAGCCTCTCTCCAGATGGTACTTTAAGCATCTTAAAATGTAAATGTGTTCAGGCTCATCTGGATGTATTCTGGCTTTTAACAGTGTTCAAAAAGTTGTGCCTGCAATGAACCTGAGTCCTTATGGTATTGCTAAACATTTATAAGCAATTCTGAAACAATAGTGGCTAAATTGAAGTGAAAGTGAAAATGTTCGTTGTTGCTTCTCTGTTGCAGGTAAACTTTCGCTTGAGGAGTTTATTAAAGGAGCCAAGAGTGACCCCTCTATTGTGCGATTGTTACAGTGTGACCCCAGCAGTGCAAGTCAATTCTGAATGGACAGCTTCAGCATCACCCAGAACTTCTCGAATGAACCTCCGGCTTGTCGTTGAAGCTTTGCTCGCAAACGGATGCCTTTTTGATCATTCCTAGGTCATTGGTGGACCATTTCCCATCTCCAGGTTCTGCTGTTTTTGTTTTGATTTTATCATGTTTGTTTTGGAGGCAGCATGCTGCTTGATTTCCGCAAGAATTTTAAGAATACTTTTTTAAATTAAATTTGCACGTATATTGACATTGTTCCATGTACACTTCGACCTTGACTGTTTTTTTTTACATTCAGTTACTAATGGCTTACATCTCATATACATGGCTAACGTGAGCTGATGTATTTGCAGCTTTGCTTAGTCCATTGCCAGTTGCTCTTTAACAAAACAAAAGATGATCACAGAACAGGATTTCAGGACTTGTTGAATCACAGCTGAATGTAGTAGACGTTTCAGATGAATTGAGTTGGTTTGATGTTACTTTCTGCAGTGGACCTGCTTGCTGTAGCACTCCTTAATGTAAATGTCATCATTTCTGTGCATATGTAGTGAAGTAAACTTAATAGCTATGGTCACCATTCGTATTGAATGCAGTTGTTCTTGTAAAAGAGTCAGTTGACAAAATGTGTATTCCATTTTCACAACTAATACCAAGTGCAGTTTGATAATTTATATTCCTTTTGTGATGTTTAATCACTAGCAAATATGCATGGCTGCCAGTGATAGCTTTCTGTATGTCTTTTTTACTCATTTTAAGTATTGAATGTAAATCATGATGAAAGGAAATTTGAAAATTAAATCCATTTTTATTATTATTGTCATTATAATTTTTATTGATCTAGGACCATTCTGGTTTCTTGTATAAGCTGTTAGTCAGATGAGACCTTTTAAGTTAAGCAGAGTGCAAGTAATTACTGGACGATCGACAGAACTTGTCATATCCTTTTACGGGGGCTTACATTTTAGTGCTTATATGTTTCTAATAATCCTTGTGCATTCCAGTGTTACTTGATATTATTTTCATCCATTTACTGCCAAGAATTGTAATTAAAATAAAGTCTACCCATTTCTTGTCAGGACAGTCTCTCTACTTTCCTGTCCAGCCTCGCTGAATTACAGATATTCCTAATGCAAACGCCTTAATGGGAAAGCCTTTGGAAAAAGCTTGCACATGCTCCAGCTGCTGTTCAGCACCATTCGTGTATCCCGGCTTTTGGGCTGATTGCCCATCTTATCTGCAAGGAACAGCACGCGGATCTGAGTCTTCTAAGGGAAATCAAAAGCACGATCATCTCGAATCTGTCTCTTGTGAAGTCCCAGGGGCTGAAGAAAGAACGGCCACTGCAGGAAGGATAAGGTGTGTCTTGGTTTGGGGATATTTCTGTATCAGGGACGCCAGTTAGTTGTTTTAGTTATACAGCTTGCTAGGCATCAGGGGAAGACTTCAAACTGGATTTTCAAAATGTAAATCCGTACCACTTTTCCATTTAGTGTTCAGTTCTTTGTGCTGCAAACACTGAATATCCTCCCGAAATTCCTTATTGCTGCATCTGATGCCTTGTTCTAAAACCGAAGGGGTCCTTCCATTGAACATATTACATCCTGAAATGTGGAGCTGCAGCAGCTGTGGCTTTGTGCAAGCTGGTTTACTTTGTGGAGGTGGCTTACCAGAGCATTTTTGGTAAAGGCTGTGTTAAACCATTCAGAATTGACTGTGTTTCTGCTATCAATACATCAATCTGTACAATTTATATACTGTCGACAAATAAAACGTGAATCATGGATGCCGTAAAGTCTTACAGTCTTATATTCAAAGGTATTTAAATCCTTGTTGCTTCTTATCAGGAATTAAGCACACATGTGTAATAATGAATATCTTGAACGTAGGACTCCTACTTAGTTTATAAATAGGGGAAACATTCTATCCCAAAATGCCTTTTTTTAATTGCCAATATATAGCTTTTATCATCAAAAATATATACATACTGTACACTTCTATTCTCTGAAGTGTTATTCCTTTTCTTTGCATTTCTTAATGACCTAGAAGCATTTTCATGGCAACTCAAAATTTGATATCCGAAGTTTGCTAACTCGGGGGGCGCCTGGAATACATAGTTTGAACCCCACTGAACCCATTTGAGTAAGCAATGGTTTTATTTTAATGGCTTTGCATTAGGATAGGAAGTAAAGGATACTAAGAATTTAGTCCCATAAGAATATGCATGAAACACATTTTGCATTTGAAATAAGCTTAGATCATGTAAAGGCAGCTACTGTTTGATTTGGTTTTTGAATTACTGCAAGTTGGTAAACATTAAAAAAACACACTGTGGACACTACATATAGGTAAAAATAGTATGTTCAAAGCAAAGCAAAACCAATAGATCCTGACATCCACAGATTTTAATTTTCACATTCCTGAACATGCATTACCAGTCTAGACGAAATAAAAGAGGGACCAAGCCTTTCATTTCTTGATGCAATTACTCTGGTTAATGAAACGAGTAGGTTAAAAAGAAGGCCTCCATTTCTTTGTATTATCAGAAGAGACACAATCTTATTTTTATTTAGAAATAATGCCTTGCTCTTGAATAAGCAATGATAAATGATAGAAAAAATGAGGAATCCCTTAACATGGACAATAACTGGAGCACTTCCTCTTCCATAATGGCTCTGCAGTTCACTAGTCTTACAGAGCATTAATGCAGTCTTTAATCAATTAAGCAGTTATCTTAATGGGATTTACAGTCAACTTCAATTAACTCCATAACTTGTGAAACCATTGTCAGTAAAAAATGTAATATTAATATGAACCATATCCTTTCAGCTACAATTAGTAAATTGAAGGCTTATTAACAGAAAATTTCACTTCCTTTGTGTGTGACATTTAGTGTTTAGGTATTTAAAACACCTCAGATAATACAGTTTCTCTCAGCTCAGCAGTGGAAGACTGTAAGTTGTCACAGGCTCTTGGTGGGCTCATCCCGCCTGGATACCCAGTTTTTGAGGACACCCTGTTCAGCACAGATTTACAGTGGTGCCACATTTTTCCATTTCTTTATAATGGACTTTACTGTGCTTTGGAAGATAATCATTGCCTTGGAAATTTTCATGTACCCTTCCTCTGACTGATGCTTTTCAATAACCCCTTCCTGGATGTTCTTTGATGTTCCTTTGACTTCATGATGTAGTTTTATTCGGAGCTGTACTTACCAACACACAGAGGTACAGTAGGTGTATTTGACCTAAACTCATATAAAACATCTTAACTGCACAAAGGTGGACTCCAGTTGAATAATTATGTGACTTCTAGCAACAACTGCCTGCACTAGACCCTGTTTAGCTTATAGCAAGGGGAGTAAAGACTTATGCAACTAGTTATTTTATGTAAAGGATCAAGTAAAGGTTTATTTCACGCTGAAAAGAGAAAAAAATAAACAACTTTTTGGCTGTGGAGCCTTCTTCGGGTGAAGAGTTGTGTTTCTTTTCTTCTCTTTTCAGCATGGAATAAACCTTTACTTGTTCCTTTACAGCCTACGCATGATGACGCAACTACCTACTTCACTAGGTATTTTATGTTTTACATTTTTAATTAATGTAGGAGTTTCTGTAGAATTTTGTTTTCTCTTTTACATTATAGAGTGTTTTGTGTCAATCAATGGCAAAAAAATATCCCGATTAAATGCATTATGATTGCATATTGTAACACAATAAAATCTGAAAAGGTCCAAGCAGGTGAATATTTTTGATAGCCACTGTAGTGATCCATTCACCCATTTCAGTGTTTTACCTTTATAAACTATGCTATACTATTTTTTTCTTTAACTTGACTCCAGACCCCTTACAGTGCAAGTTGCAATATTCTTTTTTCTTTTTTTCATGAATGTTGCGATTTCCATGTAAATATTCTGTAAAAAAAACATTAAGTTGATAAGCAAAAAGATCATGGAAACTTCCAACCTTATCACACTGTAAAAACATGAAAAAAAATCATTGTAAGAGGTGGTGTAGTCAAATAAACTTCTAATGAATTAGATTCCAAGGGTTATCATCAAAAACCAAATAAAGAGCAGCTGTATGTTTCAAATGTATCTGATGAGCCTTTGAGCTCCTATGTGGAGCGTGTCAAAAGATATGGTTGGAAACTAACCTTTATCCTTAGCAGGTTAACAGAAATGACGAAGAATATTATTTCAAGATGCACTTTTGACTTGGTTTTATGCTGTATTCATAAATACATGGTCGTTTTATGATGTATTAATGCAGCTTTTTTTCATATTCACTAATGCAGTTGAACTTTGTAATTTATGTTGCCAGTATGTTTTAACGATCTGTTGTGCTCCCTTAAGAAACAGTCACTCCTAGTAATAACATAAGCAGAAATGGCTAATGGAGTAGTCCTGCTGTCGACACAGAACATTTCCCATAGGAGTATCTCAGAAATTCTTCCGTTGTTAATGTACATTGATGGGATTACTAAAGGGGAATTATAGACCTTTGACATTCTACAATGCCATCTAGTGTCCTCTTGAGAAAATGATTGGGATACATTAGTAGCCAGAAGAGCAAGGTCTGTTTAGACTAATGATTCATTTTGTATTTAGAGGTACAACTTCACTAAATTGTACTGTTTCTTTAGAGAAAATGAAAAGAAAAACACACACAACATGATGATCACCTTCCTCTACTTTAATTTGAGCAACAGGAGAGCTAACATGAGTCTATACACAATCCTAAGGTTTAATGGCATTGTAGCTGCTCACTCAGAAGGTGTAAAATGTGCCCTGGAACAGCCTTGATTATGTCACATTGTCTTCATAACTTGCCTGCCAACATTTTACCTCAGGCAAGTGTGGGTTTACTGTATGCCTTCATTTTATGAATGTGCTACCAATATTCATGCAGGGCACTCTAGATGCCGAGGAGCTAGATGATGTACAGCAGGATAATGCATCTTCCATGACAGCTCTGTCTCCTGCCTCATGGTTAGGAAAGCTAACTTCCACATGCAGCACTTTTCTCTGTGGTAGAACTGCCTTCCAAGGCGCACACCTCAATACTCCTAAACAAATGAGAATGAGGACAGAAAAACATAACCTTCATGTTCTAGATTTAGACCTGTTCTTCCACTTTAATGATGTCCTTAAGAAAATATGGACACCCTAGGCTAATTGGACTGGAGATTAACCACACCAGAGGTGTGGAAATACAACAAATACTTTTGTCTAAATGACCGTTCTTACAGTACATCACTGTACTGGCAGAATTTTGACAACCAGGTAGAGTGAATTCAGCAATATGTTCTATTAAGATCTCTTTGTGTGATTTAGAGTATTTTGTTTATTAGATGGCATTTTTGTAGAGCTATATTTACTGTTCTAAAGGGATCATTTTTACAATAATTCAAGATGGAAATGTATAAAACCTTAGAGAGTAAGAGAATGTATGAACTCTGCTTCCAAATTTTTACAGCAGATAACAATCAGTGTGCTGGATAGATGGTCTGCTAGCTTAATAGGAAATTGGATTTTGTCAAATTTGAGGCACAAATAGAATTTGTAGAGTGAGTCACACACCTGAGCAGATTAAATGTGCTGAAGTGTCAGAGGACAATCCTCTATCTAATCTCTCTGGTGCATATCAGCACAGGGGGAGAAACAATATCTGTGTCAGTCACAAAATAACAAAAAATGGAATTGTATGCACTCTCCTTTTAAAGTTCATAAGAAGAAAGATTAGAAATCTTTGGATGACGTTCAAGCTTCAGTCAATTCATCAAGGTAACAGAAACCACTCCTCATTATTGTTTGCCATTCACAGTGCTTCCTGGAAGCATGCAAGAGAGATGGAAATGAAAGCTGTAGGTCTCAGAATGACTTGACCTTGATATTTGTATGCAGATAAGGCCTTGCACTATGAATTTCTGGGAATCATTATAGTCTTCACAGCCTTCTGCTGATCAAGATCGTATACGAAGAAGTGCAAGAGCCTGAGCCTGAACAATTGGATGTAAATGTTTGTGACTGGAGCAGCAAATACAGGATTCAATCAATAAATATATTTACCACATATATCAACTAAGGCAAGAGTTGAGTAATTTGCAGAGTCTTCAGTTATGGCAATTTGTCATATGTTTTTGGAGGCGGGGGTGGCTAGGAATATGAGGAGCTGAGATTCACACAATATATTTTTTCTATAAAATGTGAGATCTATAATGTTGTATTTAGTGTTCATTTCAGATCCAGTAGTTTTTCTCATCTACGTTGTATGAAGATTCCAACTGTAAGAACCTGAATTAGAAATAAAGATTGCTGGGACAGTGGAAGCCTTAGGAATTTGTAGGCCTTGTATGCCTTTTCTGTATTTTGAAAACACGCCTTTTTTATTATTTTGTTTAGCAGAGAAGAATAACATAACATGAACATGCAATGTCTTTTTGTCATCCCCAAGAAAGGTGGAAACATGAACGTTAAAATAAGCATCAAAATAATAATATCACTTTATATTTTATTCCTTTTTTGATTTAAGAAAAAAAAACATTTTGGGTGGAGATTAAATGTTTTTGACTTTATTTTGATTAATAGATCATTCAAGACTTTACTGGTGCATACACAGCTTATTAGTGACAGAATTGATTGGGCACAGGTGATGAAGTGATTTAACCGGTTAAATGTCAAGCCTTGTCAAAATCCCACTCATCAACAGAAAATTGCATTTTTGATATCAGAATGTTTTAGACAGAAGTTTGTCACCTGGGTGGAGTCAAGTCCTCTTAGCGGTGAATG